GTAGAGAGAGAAAAAGGAACAGAGACAGAAAGAGAGAGGAGAAGAGAAGAGAGGAGAGAGAAAGAGAGAGAGAGAGAGGAGAGAGAGAGAGAGAGAGAGAGAGAGAGAGAGAGAGAAAATCAATTAATACTATTATCACCATAAGGATATAGTCAACTTGAACTCCCACTTAACTAAAAAATTTTTTTTCCTTTTTTGGTGAGTCAATCAGGATTAAGTGACTTGCCCAGGGTCACACAGCTAGTAAGTATCAAGTGTCTAAATCCAGATTTGAACTCAGGTCCTCCTGACTCCAAAGCCAGAGCTCTATCCACTGCACCACATGGCTGTCCCTACTCAAAAAATTTTTTAAACCATAGTAGGGAAGGATGTATACACAAACACACACATATATATGTATGTATATTTGTGTGTATATGTATATATATACATACATTATGCATATATATACACATATACATATATATGCATATACACACACACACCCATTACCAATGTGTAATTTTATTGGCATTTTAATATAGCTAGCACCAGTGGTGAACAATTCCTTTATATAGGACTTCATAAACTTAGCTCTGGTAATCTAGAAAGACATTTTTAGTAGTCTGAGATTGAATTCAATAAGGATCAATATCCCTAGAGCATACACACGGAGAGAGTTATTTTGGTCTAGTTTTCCAGATCAGAAAGGATAAGTCCATTTGAGTTAAATATATAATTTCCTACAAATACAAATTTTGAAAATAATGTCCATGTCATATTTTGACAGAAAAAAAATATTTTAAATTTTAAATGTTTAATCTTATCACGAGACTTCCTTGAAGTGTTTTTTTTCCTGTTATTACATATAACAGACTTTAGGTTTCTATAGCCAGCACCTCACACTGTGACTAGGACATAATGTTTCTATTTCCAAAATCAAAAATTCTATTGATCTTCCTTTGGCTGTTCTGTTCCCTTTGAAACCTCTGCATGTGTTCCTCTTTTTTCCATATAAAATGCTATTTTTTCCCCATTGTTTCTATCTACCCTAATTCTTGGTCACTTGGATTGTCTCCATTCAGGAATGAAAACTACTTGTTTTTCAGTCAGTCAGTCCTCCTGTCTTTCTGGAAGGAAAATCTTCTTCTTGGACACTTCATAAAATTGCATCCATAAACAAACTGAATTGTAGAGATTCATTTTTACTTCCCTTTCAAAGATTTCTTCACATCCTTTTATATGTAAAAGTTAATGATACCTGAGATCAACTGAAGAAGCTAAGGACTTTTAGCAAGAAGAGACTTATGGGGCCCATCATACGGAAAAGAGACTAGTCTTGTTTGGTTTGGTTCCCAAAGGGAAAAATAGGGATAATGTCATGCTTATTTTAATAGTAGCAGAATTAAAATAATGGAAGGGAAATCAGCTGAGAAAAATATTTTAATTCATTTTAAATGTAAAATAATGTATTTCTTATCTACTGGTTTTGATTAGCTGTTCTCTCCTTCATTAACACAGATAAGGCTAGATTACACTAGCAAAATTTCTACAGCATATCTCTTAGGTGGAGGTGGAGTTAGATTATCTGAGATACTCAACTAGTTTGTAAATCAGTTCATTATTTCTGCCAACACTATACAAATATAGCTAGTTCTTATTCTAATGTGAAGGTGGGATTCGACCCTCACTACAATCAACCAATTATTCAATCAACAGAGCAAAGTAGGTATTAGGTATTCTATAACCTAGCCTCTATGTTTGGACAAGCCCTTAATTTGAAAGGATTCCAGGAGGTTTGGCCATTGGATGAAAGACAAAGGAGGACACACAGGAAACAGTTGGTTTCCCAGTTGAAAAAATCCAGTTACACCTCTGGAGATACAATTAGTCCAGCTGTGAGCTCAGTTTAGCAGTGGATTTAATGATCCTGAAGGACTCCAGGCCTGTGAGGGCCTTGAAGAGATAGACTCTTGCACCTGTACCGGTTCAGGTCACAGGGGAGGAGAGGAAATGAACAATCTCCAAGGGACCATTACATTTTCCACCTCCCACTGACCCTGTTATTGGAGAGACTGGACCAAAAGAGACAACACATCTCTAACACTAAAGACAAGCAAAGATAAAAAAGACACAAATGTGAAAATAGTCATCCTAGGAAATAAGCAGCTTCAAGGAGTGTGACCATTGAGCCAGAGAAGAATCTCAGCTATGGACCGAGGAAAGGACTTCTACTAACCAGGAGCTAGGTGCCTTGACATCCTTGTATTCACTTTGAACTCACTTTCCCCAGAGGCCTGAGTGCGTGTGTGTGTGTGTGTGTGTGTGTGTGTGTGTGTGTGTGTGCGCACATGCGCATGTAGGGAGAATGCGCCACTGGGAGGTGGGCTGGTTGTTGAAGAATGTTTTCTACTGTTCTTATTATACCATCTTAATAAATACCCTTATTAAATGCCAGTTGAGACTACTGGCTGATACTCAATGGCAGGCACTGGTAAGAGTTCATGAGGAACAAACACCGAAGCCCCTCAGGATTACCCCTCCAGCCTTAGGGGAGTAAATAGCAATAGCAAGTGGGGAGTGACCCTTGATGGAGTGATCTGCTAAAGAGAAAGAATGCATTCTTATCCCTCAAAGAAATCCCTCTAAATGGGATTTCCAGAGTGAATGGAAAGTGTTTCTTAACAAAAATTCTTTAGACCACCACCCTAAAGCATAACTTTGGTCAACCACTTTCATTCCTGCTTTGTTGTCTATGAAAACATTATCAAGATTTTTTCCTGTGTGCCAAAGGTTGTGCAAACCCTATAATATCTAAAGTATAACATGAATCATTTTATTATTAAAATGCCAAATATGGGAATCTTAAGAACTAGATAATTATAGGGACTGAAACAAAAAGTTACACCAAGATATAATTCAAGTTCCCATCGTCAGGCAACATTCTCCATTGGGTAGGATGATCCACAGACCTCTTTTCCATCCAGGGCCTTGCCACAACCCAGCTTAAACAACAAAAGTACCGCTTCCAAAGCCCTGCCGCCCGTCAGTCATTATTTCCCCCAATCTCTTTTTTTCTTTAAGATCCTGGTAAAGTAGGATAAAGCAAGGCTTTTGCTCTGATGGTCTAGCACTTAGTTCCTTAATAAGGATCAGTTGGGGAAAAAAAATGACTTCCAACTACAGTGTGATCATGAAGATTAGAAGTGACAAATAATCAGTCCTAAAAAGAACATAGAATTTTATCAAAAGGGACCTTAGAGATTATTTAATTCAACCACCTCATTTTACAAAAGAGGTACAAAATGGGAAACTAACCTCCAGATCCCAGATTCAAATCCATGTCTGATCGAGTAATTGGTTTACCTAGGTCTTCTACCAAATCCCTGCATACCTGTTTTAAATCATTTATCAATTCCTTCCCCCTGTAAAGGGAATGGAAACTAGAGAAAATAGTGGGACACTAAAGTGAGAGAATACTGGATGTGCAGCTGGAGGCCCTGGACCTGGAGTTCAAATGTTGACTTTGTCACCTACTGCATGACTTGGGGCATTTAAGAACCCCTTTGGGGCTCGGTTTTCTCCTCTTACTGTAAGTGAGGGATTTGGTGAATATGTTTCAGATCCCTTCCATCTCTACATCTATGATACTAGGAAAGCAAAGTGAATTAACTGTATAGAGACATGTGTGTCTACTGAGAGTGGACACATGGGGTAGTGGACACAGAGTGAAGGGTGTTGGGCTTGGTATCAGGAAGACCTAGATTTGAATCCTGCATCAGATACCTACTAGCTGGGTGATCCTAGGCAAGTTACTTGAACTTTGTCTGTTTCTGCATCTATAAAATGGCGAAAATAATACATCAACCTCACAGGGTTGTTGTGAGGATCAAGTAAGAATATATAAGTAAAGCACTTTGCAAAACTCAAAACAGCTATATATTATTATATGAATATTAGGATATGAAAAGGTAAGGAAAAAAGTAGAAGGATGAGAGGACAAAAGGGTTTGATATTGCCTTGTTTCTTATCAGAAAGAAAAGGAAACAAATAGTGATAATGGGGATCTAAAATGTATTTATGAAGACCATACCTTACACTAGATATTGGAAGATACTAAAAGAATGTGATTATCAAATATAAGTATGCCAGCTTGTTCTTCCTGAAATTGTTTTATTTTCCTACTATCAGCATATTAATTTTTTAAAAGGGACATTATAATATATGAAAGTAAAAGAATGGGTAATGAAAACATCCTACACTCTTCAGCAACACTGCAAGAAAAGACAATGTGGTTCTACACCTAATGTTTGGAAAATACCATGAATATTCCATCAGGAGTCAATAGGACATTAACTCCTAGGAAGTATCATGGGGGCATGTTCAGCAGTGAGACCACAGTGTTTGCTACACATTGTCCTATGGCCAGTGTCATTCAGGGTCTTCTATGAATGGGGACCAATTTCTAATGTAGGGGACCTCCAAGAAATGAGATCACATCTAAGTCTTTGCAGTTCTTCACCACTCAGCAGGAGCTCCAGAGGAAATTCCCATTGTTTTAAAGGTAATGTTATTGTCAAAACCTCTGTTTTGGGGACTAGTCAATTCTCTGGGTTAGTTTAAGACCACTGGGTAACTCCTTCCCACTTGTCCTAGGCCTGTGTAACTAAGAATGGTGCAGGAACCTGAAAGTTGCCCAAAGTTTGTGTGACACAGCCTGTAATTAAATGCCTTTTTGCTACCATGTACCTGGTAACAAGAGCACCTTGGTCATTGGGTGCCTCAACAATTCATGACTCCATTTAGGATAGCCATTAGTTGTCCTTGGGAAGTTCTAAGTTTCTCTGAGGTCCTGCACTACTTAATACAATTCACTCGATGATAGTCACTGTCTTTCTCTTTTCCATAGTTTAATAATAAACACTGGATTATTTTTGTGGGAAAATTTCTGCTTCAATTATTACCAAATAATGCCCCTGCAGATTGCTCAGGGTATGCTGCTGCTTCTATTCTTCCAGGTTGGGCAGTGGGGAGGGAATCACTTTTGAGAATCAGGAAAGTCCAAAATAAGTATATTATAAATACAGTATGTGACCTGTAGGGAGGGAAATCTGAAAAAAGAGGCTGTAGCTTGAAAAAAGAACTTTCTGCTTCTTGCCCTATTTCTGGTGAATGAGCAGCTTTTTTCTTTCAACAAATCATTACTTTCCAAAAACGCTGGTTGATCTTCCATAGGTCAGCAATCATTCAGCTAGAAACAACTGTAGTTTACCATCCAATGTGGCTGTGGCAAGCTGTGATTGAAGAAAAAGAGGGGGAAAAAAACAGTTTCAATATTGTTCTCACTTAACCAAAAATCCACTATTGTGGAGTAAAAATCCACAATAATAATAGTCTCAGCTAAAATCTCATCTTCCTCAAAAAGTCTTTCCAACCCCTCTTAATTTTGTGCCTTTCCTCTGTTGATTGTCTCCTATTTTTTTCTGTATCTAGCTTGTTTGTATGTATTTGTTGCATGTTCTCTTTTCCATCACACCATGAGCTCCTTGAAGGCAAGGACTTTCTTATGCCTCCTTTTGTAATGCCAGTGCTTAGCACAGTGCTGCCACATAGTGTGCACTTTAAAATGTTTATTGATTGATTAATAATGGCTAGCATTTCTATGGTGCCTACAATGTGCCAGGCACTATTATAAGGGCTTTTGTAAATATTATTTCATTTGATCCTCACAACATTGGGAGGTAGGTGCTATTATTTTCCCCATTTCCAGTTCAGGAAACTGAAGTAAATAGAGCTTAAATGGAATGCCCAAGATCACATATCTAGTAAGTGTCTGAAGCTGGATTTAAACTTAGCTATTTCTGACTGTAGGCCCAGTGTTCTATTCAATGTGCCATTTAATTGCTATTATTTACCAGTAAATTTTTAGAAACCTGAATTTAAATCTGGTCTCAGACCAGCTATGTAACCCTGGACAAGTCACTTAATATCTGTCTATTTCAGTTTCCTCATCTGTAAAACTAGGATAATAAAAATATCTACCTCTCAGGCTTGTTGTAAGGATCAAATCAGATAATATTTATAAAGTGATTAATATACCTTAAATCACTACATAAAGGCTAACTATTATTATTATTATTATTATTATTATTATTACTTATTTAGCATCCCAATATTATTTTGACATTTTAAATCTTGGTTCAGACTCCATCTAAATAATGCCACAGGAATATCCCATAGAATCACAAATTTAATGCTGAAAGTTATTAAGTTTTATCTATTTTAAGCCCTTCATTTTACAGATGGGGAAACTGACGCTTAATGAAAATGAAGTGAAATAGTAAGTTGAAGGGCCAGGATTGGCCCCCAGATCCTCTGACTTCAAATGCAGTGCTATCTCCATCACATCAGTAGTAAGCTCTGTTAAATACCTCTGCTGTTAATTAATTACTTTGAGTCTGAACACAAGTATTTGATTTCTCTATTTTTACTTTCAACCTGGAAGAGACAACAAAAAAAGCTGTTGATTTGGTAAAGAAACTTAATTGATTCACCAAAAATCTCAATATTTCAATTTCCAATGCTCATTGGAATGTGTTCTGATAATGATCCATTCAATTGCAAAATTGATTATTTCTTTAATAAAACATAAGCATATAAAACATTTTCAACTGAAATTGGATAAGTAAATTTTATTTTGTCTTACATCGTTCACCATAATTCTTCTAAGTAGATGTGATGCAAACAAACTCAATTACATAAGAGGCTATCTAAAAGAAAATTCTTATGGTGATTATAATTCTGTTCTCTCTTGTGATAACAGATAAAGCAATTAACTGTATCTGCCCCTTTAAGAAAATTCAGTGTATGAAAATGTAGATTTATAATAAAGGTTACTTAGCCATTTATTTAATTAATGAATGATTATTCTCTCTTCAAAAATTTCATGCAAAAAAAATTATACTAATTCTTCTAACCACCCTATGCTTCTACTTATTACTTACATGCAAATTATTCCTAAATCTTTAGGCCTGACATTTCATTTGTGTTTCAATTTCATATTTCAGAATGCCATACTAAATGGCAGAAGAAATGAAATATACTCTATTAATAGAGAGAAAGTAACTGGTTACAGGCAAAGCCTTAATTTCGGAATTGGACATCTAACATACCAGGCTAGATGAAGATGAGAAGGAAAATGAAAATGAGATGCCTGAAGATGAGAAGGAAATAAAAACACTGTAAATGATTGCAGCAGCTCTAACTCGACCTGCTTGAATAGAACGCAACTACAGATTCACATAGACCAGAATATAAGCAGGGCTAGAAGGTCCAGTCAACAAGGATTTATTAAGCATTTATTATGTGCCAAGGCACTGAGCTAAGCACTGAGTTAGGCTCTATCCTAAGAGCTCAAATAGAGCAAGTGAGGATACTTCCTAACAGAGAGTCAAGGCAAAGCAGAGCTGAGAAAATGTCTGGGTAATTTTGTGATAAGGCATGTGCAATCTGTGTAGGGCACATATGTCCACATGGGCTGTCTAAATACAGCTTGATGAAGGGAGGCATTGAAGACTTCAATTCCTACATTGAGGGGAGCAGAAGGGGCTACCCAATTAACTACTTTGTTCTCCAGTCTCTGGAAAGAGGACTGAACTAGAATTATATGTGATGCCCTAAATACTGTTAGCCTAGGGGAAAGGTTTTTAGGTTTAAAACAAGAGCTGATAGCTTCTCTGTTGGTATCCCTCATAAGCGGGAGGGCAGCCCTTGGTTCAGTGAAAAACAGTGTTGACTTCAGCTGGTCTAACCAAAGAGTGAAGACTGGGGAAGGAGGAGAATAAGGGCAGAGCAGGCCTAATGGTCTACGAATGCAGTGAGGGATGGGGGAATCAGGTGGTGATGAAGATACAGAATAAGATTATGAGGGATGAGGCATAGGGAGAAATGATACAATAGCAGATTTTGATCAGATAAAGGAATGTTTTGTTGTTTATAAAAGAAGTAGAAAATTGGGGGGTAATGTTGATATCCAAGGTGTTAGCATCCCTGTATGTGGTTGAGGTGGAATAGAAGAGATATTATATGAGATTATTGGGAACTAAGAGTCTAAGGTGTTTGGGCAGTCTTCAGTATGAATGCTGAGGTCCCCTAGTAGAAGGGCAAGGATTGGGAAGAAGAAGAGAGTGATCCAGGCACTGAACTCCTTGAGAAAAAAAAAATGAAGAATATGAGGATTGATTGATAACAGTCATCTTGACCTGTACATGAGAAAATAACTAATAACTGAACTCTAAAGGGGTAGAGGTTTCTGAGTTGTGGCAGTAAAGGAAATGGCAGTTGACAGCAAAGAATATTCCAACTACCCCTCCACAGGACAAATGTATCGGTGGCAAAAGTGAAGATATATCTAGTACTAGAGAAGATAGCCTGGACTGCTGGGGAAATCTGGGGAAAGCCAGCTGTCAGCGAGAGCAAATAGATTGAAGGAATATGAGAGGAAGAGGTTCAGAATGAAAGAAAGTTTATTTGCGTGGAGTGGGAATTCCAGAGGGTGTAACAGAAAGGAGTAGGCAAAGTTGGAGTGGGAAATGAGTGGGGCCAGGCAAGGTTGAGTTGGGTGGAGATGAGAATAGGAGGTACAAATTAAGGATCAATTGCTCTTAAGTATCTGTTAATTAAGTAAACACAGGAAAAAAAGGAGAATAACAGGTAGTAGGAGTTTGCTAACCATAGAAGGTGTTAGTGGTGACAGATGAGTTGTAATGGTCCCAGCTACGATGAGGTGGTGTTACAGGGCAAAGATCAGAAATGCCAGGGCTTGGATACCCCATTTCTTTTCCGGGGTGAGGTAGGGGGGATAAGAATTTCCAGGGAGCTAGAAAACTCACAGGGCAGCTAGATGTCTGAACAGATAGAGGGCTGGGCGTGGAGTCAGGAAGATTCATCTTCCCGAGTTCAAATCTGGCCCCATATATTTACTAGTTGTGTGACCCCAACTTAATCCTATTTGCCTCAGTTTCCTCATCTGTAAAATGAGCTGGAGAAGGAAATGACATACCACTCCAGTATCTTTGCCAAGAAAACTTCAAATGAGATCACAGAGTTGGACATAACTGAAATGACTGAACAACAGCAACAGAAGACTCACTGGATGTCAGCAGAGAAAGTGTCAGCACAAATGAGATTGTGGATCTATGACAAAAACAATTTTTTTTCCTAAAACTTACTAGAATGTTAATCAATAAAATAGTTTACTTAAAATCAGTGAACAAAAGATATATATATGTATGTATGTATGTATAAAGCTACTTGTCTCTGTCATCACACTACCTTCAAAAGACAAGACTGAAAGGGGGAAAACCTACTAGGTCGGATTAAATTTGTGCAGCTTTGACAAGAAGCACAAACATGTTACTATTTGGTCCATATTTCTTTCATGTTTGTCATGGTATCAGGCATTTTTATACATCAATAAAATGTTGAGGTTTTCCAGGCTGAATGCACTATGTATTTAATCCTAGAAGTTAAAAAATAAAGGACATTAGTAATATATTGGAGGGATAAGCAGATTTTATGGTGAATGTAGGTCAACACATAATATGCTAGGAGATTTTAATTCTTCCTTCAGAAGACAACACTGAATAAAATCTGATTCTTTGTTGGAACAGAATTATGCTTACCTAAGGGTTCCAAATACATCTCAAACCCAGAGACACGAGTAAAATCAATTCTAGCATTTTCCCTGTTATCTGGTATATATCAGGAATAGCAATGGTGAACCACACACATTTTGCATAAACTGTGAGGCTTATCTAGTTTTAAATAACTCAGTCTGAAAGACTCTGCTGAAGATATTACACTAATGGCTTCCTGGAAAGAATGATAAATATTGCTTATAGCAGGTTTGGAAGCATCACAAAAACAGTCTTTTGGATCATTTTCTACTTTTTCTTGGAGCACTTTTATTTTGCAGGGGGCTGAGGAGGGATGAGGAGGGAATATGGGAGGAAGCCACCAGGAAGTAGAGAAGTAACAAAGTCTATTATATAAACATTAAGTTCCCATTCACCAGTGGCCTCAATTTGAACTTTGGCTAAGAATTTAATCTCTTTGTGCCCAGGCTTCGTTAATGTAAATGGAATTATGTTTTCCAGTAGGATTCTGATATGCTCAGTCTATTACATCTTTACTGTCTACATGCATTCAAGGCATTTTATCAAATGGTTCCAAATGACATTTTTGATGACTACACAATTGTGATCTATTTAACAGGTTTTTCATGATAGCCAGGAATCACTGTTGCCATTCATTATGAGCTAGTTGAGACTTATTGACCCAAGCCCAGTGACCTTATCATTTCCTTCTTCAATAAGTCATTACTTACTTGTCTATAATTCTCCCTTGCAGTTGTGGAAATCCCAATGATTTTATCGCTAAATTTTGTCCAAAGAGCCTGGAGTCACGTACCATGCCTCCTCACCACAAATAGACTCATGAAAAATACACTGGTGTAAAGAGGCTAAGCCAAAATTACACAATGTTTCTGAAGGGGAAAAAAATGGAGACTTTAAAAGCATGACTACAAAATGGAAGTATAGCTAAGAGGAAAAAAATAAGTAGACATTTTCCTTTCTGTATCTCTAGTAGAAAGCACAGTGGCTGACATATAGGGAGCATCAAAAATGTTTGTTGAACTAAAATAAATTAAACATTGAAAGCCACATGGGAAATAGAATCCAGGGGTTAGGCAGAGAATACAGAATCACGGGAATAAGGGAGAAGAGTCATGGCATTAAAATCAAGGAAAATTTTAATAAAAGCAGCTCTTCTATCCACACTAAGCTGAAATAGTTTTCTTGGTTAGCCAATGTAGGATCTAATACCTAAGCATGATTATCCTAGAACTTGATTTACTCTGTGTACTATGATGGCCATAACATATTTAGTTGGTACTATACTTTAAAGGGGGCAGTGAAAAAATAATATAGATAGGTCCAAATAAGAATTACAGGTATGGTGAGGGTATTGGAAACTATCACATGAAGAATAGTTCTATAATTTGGGATGCAAAGGCTAAAAAGGACCCTCTTCCTATGATAGCTGTATTTAACTGACAAATATGATATATTAGAATGACTGCAATGGGACTCAGAAGACCAGGGTTCTAATCTCAGCTCTGCTACTCATTTCCCTTCAGTACTTGATTTCCTTTTCTATAGAAATATATCTCTATGGACACTTGGAGCTCTTTAAAAAAGAACTTGAAGGGCTACAAAGTAGAGGATGATTTCTCATCCATAGCATGGGATCTATTGTAGTTAGAATTGGATGTTTAATGCCCTTGGCACTAATACACCATCACAAGATGATATTCATGCACATTAAATTAATTCTGGGTAAGAATAAAGAGACGCACTTGTAACAAGAATTATTTAATTTAGTCCTTAGGGAAATCTTCTTGACCAAAATGTTTGTATGGCATTATCAATGGATGACACTGATTTTCCTTCTCTGGAGATGTTAGAGAAAAAGATAGACGATAACTAGGAGAAAGTTGTATTCAATGTATTCCTGTCCAGAAAAAGGAGGGACTGGATATTATTTGAGATTCTTTCTATCACAGAATATTATTGCAACTATGCCTTATGGCTTTTCTGTGAAAGAGAGTGTAAAAGATGTCTTGAAGCTTAACATCAAAAAAACTAAGATCTTGGCAACTGGTCCCATCATTTTCTGGCAAATAGAGAGAAAAGAAATGAAGCAGTGTCAGATTTTATATGCTTGGACTCAAAGACCACTACAGATGGTGACTACAGCCATGAAATTAAAAGACACTTATGACTTGGAAGGAAAGCTACAGCAAATCTGGACAACATACTAAGAAGCAGGGGCATTGCCTTCCGATAAAGATGCATGTAGTAAATGCTATGCTTTTTCCAGTAGCAGTGTATGGCTATGAGAGTTGAACTAGAAGGAAAGCTGAGTGCTGCAGATTTAACGCTTTTGAATTGTGAAGCTGGAGAAGACTTTTGAATGTCCCTTGGGCAGCAAGATCAAATCAGTTAACTCAGAACTGAATCATATCCATGTATGTATTCTTAATATAAATATAACAAGAAAACATAAAGAAGTTGCAATCAAGTAGAAGAATTACAAGTTTTTCTTAGAGAGACAAAATATTTCAGCAGAAACAATTGTTATCCTGTGGACAACTTGTTGGTTATTGGATACATATCTTGTATCCCTAAAATAAATTATATCCATTAATTCGATACACCTTAAATATTATTTAGAGCAACAGCTAAATAAATGTTTATAAGAGGTCTAAAATCTATGTGATTCTTAATACCGTAGTCGCTGCTTTTCTGTGACTCTACTAATGCTACTTCAAGAGTTAAAAGCATCTGCATAGGACTTCGGGCTATTTTGCCTTTTTATCTTTTTCATGGTTTATCATATTCAAAGATTCACCATCTAATGATCAATCTTCTGTCATGAAACTGGGAGAGAACAGGGAATAAGCATTTATATAGCACCTACTATGTGCCAGACGCTATTAAGTCTTTCATAGTTTTTATCCCATTTGATTCTCACAACAACCCTGCTAGGTAGCTGCTGTTGTAATCCCCATTTCACAATTGAGGAAACAGGAGTTAAATGAGTTGCCCAGGGTCACATAAGCGAGTAAGTGTCTGAGTCCACATTTGAATTCAGGGATTCTTGACTCTAGGTTCAGTGCTTTATCCACTATGCCACCTAGATGCATGAGTCAATTTGTACTTAAGCTACCAGGGGTGGGGAACTGTGGCCTTGAGGCCACATGAGGTCTTCTAGGTTCTCGGGTGAGGCTTTTTGACTAAGTCCAAATTTTACAGAACAAATCCTTTTGTTAAGAGGATTTGTTCTGTGAAGTTTGGATTCAGTCAAAGGGCCACACTTGAGGATGCAGAGGGCCACATGTGACCTTGAGGCCACAGGTTCCCCACCTTCGGCACCACCTAGATATTTTATTGGATAGTAGGTACATAAGGTTGGTAGACCCTGACAAGGTTTGCACTTTGCTTGGCATAACCTTATAGATAAAACCTTCAAGAACCCAGGATTATGCCATTGCCATGATGAAGCAGCAGATCAGAATGTCTATGGAGGTCTTTGATTCCATGATTTTATAAGTGAAGATAAGTGAAGAGTTCCAGGGTGGAGAATAGAGTTCTTCATTCCTTAATTCCAAACTCTGACAATCCTCTGACCATAACTTCCTATCATTCCATCACTCTCTGTGCCTTACTGTTTTTATAATATTTTACTTTTCACCAATTATATATATTTTTAAAAACCTTTTAACTTTTTTTTTAAGTTTTGAGTTCCAAATTCTATCCCTCCCTCCCTTCTGACACTACCCCCTCCCAGAGACAATAAGCAATCTGATATAGGTTATACATGTTCAATCATGTAAAATATTTTCATATTAGTCATTTTGTATAAGAAGACTCTAACAAAAAAAAAGAACAAAAGAAAGAAAGTGAAAAATAGTATGCTTTAGTCTGTATTCAGATATCAGTTCCTTCTCTGGAGGCAGATATCATGTTTCATTATTAGTCCTTCGGCATTGCCTTGGATCATTGTATTGCTGAGAATAGTTAAGTCATTCACAATTCTTCATCATACAATATTGCTGTTACTGTGTATAATGTTCTCCTGGTTCTACTCACTTCACTGTATATCAGTTCATGTAAGTCTTTCCAGATTATTCTGAAATCATCCCATTTGTCATTTCTTATAGCACAATAATATCCCATCACAATCATATACCACAACTTGTTCAGTCATTCCCCAATTGATCGGCATCCCCTCAATTTCCAATTCTTAGCCTCTTTGTAAACCTATTCTGTATTCTCATCGCCATGTCCAATACTTCCACTTTTCATTACATCCTTAGGCATTACCTCTGCTCTGATTAAACCTTCTTCCATCCCCAACCTCAAGACTCCTATTAATCAATTCAATTCTCCACTGTCATCTCCTCTAGAATCCTTCTTTTCTTTGTCCCATTCTTGCTCATCCCTTGCCAAATTTAGCCCTGGATTATTCCCACCATCTGCCTCCTCCACCAGAATCAGGCGCTACTGAATGGAGCTGAAGGAAATTAATTCTTGGATTGCTTCTAGACTTCTTCATTTAGCTGAAAATGTTCTTTCCAAAGTTGCCAATGATTTCTTAATTACTACATTTGCTATTTTTTTTAAAAAAACTCTTTCTCAACCTATCTGCTGCACTTGACACCATAAACCACATTGCCCTCTTATATACTCTCCTCTCTTGTCCTTTCAGGATACAGCTCTCTCCTTATATATGCCATTCTGGATCTTTATCCTTTTCCATGAAAATAAATTTAGAAAGGTTATAGACTGAGGTCATACAAGTTCTAATGTACTTCAATATAACACAAAGGCATGAAGAACAATGTATATCCACCCCTGGTGTCAGTGGTAAAACTTAAGAGAGATAGTTTAATTCAATTTCAGGAAAGATTCAAAAATTCAGAAAATATAAACTGTTTTATATTATCTTCACCAATATAATATATGCACACATATGCCCATACATGTGTTTATATAGGCATTTGTTTTCTTTTCCATTAGAATGTATGCTCCTTGAAAGCTGCATTTCTATGACCAGTGCCTAGTATAGGGACAGGCCAGATACTGGGACAGAATAGATATTTAATGAACACCTGTTGATTGACTGATTGATAACCAGAAGCATTTCCTTTCCCTTACCTCCTTTCTCATCCCCATAAACCAATAATTTCACATGTTCAATACCAGATGTAGACTGGCACTAAATCGGGACCCTTCAGCTCCCATGTTTGAGGTTGCCCTGGCCTTAATCATTCTGAAGCAACATTAGAAGAGATGGAAATGATGGAAACAGAGTTTAAAATTTCAATTTTATCTTCCCCAAAACAAGATTGAGTTTTCATGGTCTTTTAGAGCTAAGTCAAGTAAATAATGATTTGTTAATGACACATGGCCTCAGTTGCTCTTGATACAACTTTTAAAATAAAGAAGTCTTCCATTCCCCATATCTGGTTCACTAGGTGTGTACCTAGGTTAACTGTAGTCAGCACTGAAAAAAGTTATAATGCCATTTAGTTCTACCTGGGGCACTATTACCACATTAAGATATTTTCTTTTGGATACTGAAACATGACACAGTAGTATTCCCAAGTTTTCCACAAACATCATTATATAAGACAATATCCTATCATGGAAATAAATCCACCCAAATTTCTCCTTTGCTCTGTCAGGTCCCAGAGTATACATGTAAGTCCTGATATAACTAGGGAGGAAGAATGAAATAGCACAAAGGGTACTGACCAAAAGGTGTTGGACTTACAGTCAAGAGATCGGAACTTCGATCCAATTTGGTACTGCCTATTTAATTAAAAAGTCACTTGATCGATCTGAAATTAGAGTTAGCTAAAATGATACCTAAGGTTCCCTTAACAAATATAGAAGAATATATAAAAATAAGTTAAAA